GATTTGCCAGAGAGAAACTTAATGGGATATGAAGTCATATTTCACTTTTTTAGGATAGTCAGCGGGGTAAGATATTTTCATAGGTTCTAGGAGATAGGTGGTGGCTTACATTTGGTAGTAATAGAATGATAAAATGTTTTTCCATATGTGACAATAAAACGTATTTCTAATACTTCCCTTAGTCCGTGTGTAGGTAGATCCTAGCTCCGAATGCAGTGCCTGGCTCCCCAGGGCTCACTGCAATTTCTCTTCCCCTCCTCGACCTCGAGCTCTGGGCTCTCCAGGCACGGCCATAGCCCACTGCTCTTCTGCCTCTGCTCAGCTGCTTGTATTTCCTTGTCTGCCCAATGCTTCAGTTAAAAGAACCTGCAGATGGATGAGGATGGATGACTCAGTGACCCCCGTGTCCCCCATACCGTGCTTTTCTCCAAGCTCTGCCCCTTGCAGGTGACAAGGGGCGTTAAGATCCACTCTGTTGCCCAAGCAGGGAAATTGGGAGTCTTCTCGTCTTCTCTTTCTTCTACTCTTCACCCAGAATATTACAGTTCCCAGAAACGTCACGCCAAAATAGTTCGGGAGCCTATGCCTCCTCCTCATCTGGAATATTCTTGCCCTAGGTCAGCCTCCAGTCTCTCTCCTGACTTGACAGCCTGTTGCTGCTGCTGGTGGAATTCACCCTCTGGGCTCCATCCCTCATAAAAGCCCAACCACACTCTCTCCTTCGTAACAGCTTTTCATGACAGTCTCCCCCTGTCTATAACTTGTCGTGTGCCAGGCACTGGGCTGAAATTTTGCATGCATTCATGCACTGCCTCATGGGTTCCCAGCAATCCCAGGAGGCAGCAGCTACCATATTCTGTCCCTCATAGATATGAATAGCAGGCTTCAGGAAGTTAGAGAACTTACTGAGATGGTATGTCTCATATGGTCAGAGCTGGATTAGAACTCTAGCCTTGGATACACAGGTCTCAACTCCTGTTCTGTGCTGCCATGGGACAGTGTCCAGCCCCTCTGTCCTGATGATCTGGTACCACCTACCTCCTTAGGCCATGGGGCAGCATTCCCTGCCTGGACATCCGCCCCAGCAGCACCACGCTTGTGTTGTTCTCTGCACATGCGGGGTGATCTCTCGCTCTGTTCCTTCTCTCTGGAATGTCCATCCCAACTCCTACCCCATGACTCTGCCCTTTAAAGCTCAGGGCAGGAGTTACTTTCCCCAGGGAAACTTGTGATTGGGTCACTTGCTACTTCTCTGAACCTCAGTTAGACCCTGTGTATGTATCATCATCATTTCTACTCATGGGCCATCTGCAGGAGCCCTCCAGGCTCAGGGGCCATGTCCCTTCTTGCACCTCCAGCACCTAGTGCTAAGCCTGATCTATCTACGATGGTCATCCATGACCATCCACAATGGCCAATGGTCAATGACCTACTTTCTGTAAGTGCCTTTTATCTGCTTCTCTCCATTCTGCCTTGGACTATAAGCAGGCGTTGTATCTAACTGGCTTTGCACGCCAACTACTCCACTGTAGTGTAAGTGAGCACCTGAAAATTGTGTGTTCAAAGATGATGATTTTTGCTTCCTTTACTTCGTGTACAGATGCAAGCCCAGAATTACAGGACAGCAGTGTGACCAATGTGCTTCTGGGTTTTACCACTTCCCTGAGTGTGTTCCCTGCAATTGCAACAGAGATGGGACTGAGCCAGGAGTGTGTGACCCAGGGACGGGGGCTTGCCTCTGCAAGGTAAGAATGATTGTGTAATGCCAGAGGCGCCAGCTACCAGTCAGCGGGGAAGTGCTTCATGTTGAGTTAACATAGAAAAGTATGTGGGAAATGGGACTGACCCATAATAGTTGTTCATAGTGTGTATAGCATTTTATAGTCATGATCTCATTTTATAGAAATAGTTAGGAGGCAAGACCCCTTTTAGCTTTTGGAGAGGTCATGTACCCCCTTAGAATCTGATGACAGAATAGATCCTTTCCAGAAAAATCAACACAAACTTTAATCTACAGTTTCATGAGGTCCGTAGGTTCCCCTAAAACCCATTCCTGGACCGTGGACTCCAGGTGATCATCTCTGCTCCAAGGGGTTCCGCCAGGTTGTAGGAGACCTTCCAGTTCCCAACAGATGTTTTAAGGTGGTGGTGAGTGAGATGAATTGGTCTCCCTGTGCTGTGAACCATACGGTGCTATTTCTCTACTTGCAAGATACCCCAGGGGCATCTTATCAAATTTAGAGAATTCTCTCCTCCATTCATGTGTGGCATAAAAGTTTAAACAATTATCATGGGATGAAAGCTTAATAATTAACATCTCTTTTAATGTTTCATTCATATCCTCATCCTAACGTCTGCTGTTGGTATTTAATTTGTGCAAGTAGCTAATTGCAACTAGGGAAACTTTAGAAGAAGTAATCTCTTCCTTCATGTTTTGCTTCAATAGGAAAACGTAGAAGGCACAGAGTGTGATGTGTGTCGAGAAGGATCCTTCCACTTGGACCCAGCCAATCTCAAGGGTTGTACCAGCTGTTTCTGTTTTGGAGTAAATAATCAATGTCACAGTTCACACAAGCGAAGATCTAAGGTATGCATTGACAGGAAGTGCTGGGGAGCGTTTTGTACATGGATTTGTTAAATGGTAAGTGTCGTCCTCGCTGTTCCTTGGCCTGCAGCGTATTAAAACTCTTGTTTCCTGAATTCATCAGGTGTTTCCTCGAATGTCATGTGCTCAGAGGGGCTTTCCTTCACTACTCCCTGTGAAATAGCACACCCTGATCACTCTTGATGACCTTACCCTTGTCTTCCCCACAGCAGTCAGCACTCCCTAACATATTTAACATTCTGTTTTAAAATTTGTTTATTGCCCTTCTTCCTCCATCCCTGGAATGTGAGCTCACTGATACACCCCTAGTGCCTAGAACAGGATCTGGGACATAATAGATGCCCAATAAATCTCATTAGATAAATAGAGTTTGTTATTTTTCCCCTTAAAAGAAAATCCTGTATCTATACTCACAACACGCTAACACCAAATGTGTGGGGTTTTTTCCATACCCCAAATTCTCTGATTCTCTCTAGACACTCCCGGGGTGTCCTGCAATTCAATTCACTTCTGACACTCTCCACCTGGAGGTGGCATCAGACTGCACAGGCTAAGGGCTCAGTTCTTCCAGACTGTCCCTACTTCAGATGCCAGTTGCAAGTCCCAGGTCGCCAATGCTTCTCTAGTGCTTTGCTACAAGTTGGGGTTTTCCACAGCCCCCTCCTTATGTTTGATAATCTGCTATAATGGCTCCCAGAATTCAGGAAACACTTTCCTTACTATTGCGGTTTATTATAAAGAATATGATAATGGATACAGAGGAACAGCCAGGTGAACAGGTGTACAGGGTGAAGTCCAGGGCGTTCTGGTCATGGGAGTTAGGGCGCACCACCCTCCTGGCATGCAGATGTGTTTACCCACCCAGGAGCTCTCCCAAGCCATCATTTAGGGGTTTTTTGGTAGCTCTTTGATGTAGACGTGATTGGTTAAATCATCAACTATTGATAATTAACTCAATCTCTAGTCCCTCTCCCTTTTTCAGAGGTTGGGGGTAGGGCTGAAAGTCCCAACCCTCTCATCCTACCTTGGTCTTCCTGGCTGCATGCCCCCATCCTGAAGCTACTCAGAGGATCCAGCCACCAGTCATCTCATTAGCACACGAAGAGACACTGTTACCATCATGAGTCCAAGAGTCTTAGAAGCTCTGGCGTCAGGAACTGTGGACTGAGATAAAGTATCACGGCAAAAGATGCTCCCATCACCCCTGTCATTCAGAAAATTGAAAGCGTTTTAGGAGCTCTGTGCCAGAAACTGGTAGTAATGACCAAATCGATCTCTCTCATCATGTCACAATATCTATCACACCTCTCATTTCTTGTTTTTACTTCTTTCTGTTTTGCTTTACTTCTCATCTATTTTACCATATCTTTTCTTTGGCCACTTTTTTTTTCTTTGTTTTGAGACAGGGTCTCTCTTGCCCAGGCTGGAGTGCAATCACATAGCTCATTGCAGCCTTCGCCTCCAGGGCTCAAGCAATCTTCCTGCCTTAGCCTTCTGAGTAAGCTGGAACTACAGGCATGCACCACCACACCTGGATAATTTTTATATTTTTTTGTAGAGTCGGGATTTTGCCATGTTGCCCAGGTTGGTCTCAGACTCCTGGGTTCAAGTAGTCCTCCCACCTCAGCCTCCCACAGTGCTGGGATTACAGGCGTGAGCCACTGCACCCAGCCTTCTTTGGCCATTTTTTAAATTAACTTCATAAAACTAAAACTTTTCTTTTCATTATTCCATGAACCAGTAACCTCATGCTTGCTTGTTTTGTGTGATTCATGTCTTATATCCAACAAGTAGTCAAAAAAAAGACTTTTTTTTTTTTGAGATGGAGTCTCACTCTGTTGTCCAGGCTGGAGTGCAGTGGCATGATCTTGGCTCACCACAACCTCTGCCTCCTGGGTTCAGGCGATTTCGGCCTTAGCCTCCTGAGTACTACCCGGCCAATTTTTGTGTTTAATAGAGAGAGGGTTTCACCATGTTGGCCAAGCAGGTCTTGAACTCCTGAACTCAGGTGATCCGCCTGCCTCGGACTCCCAAGGTGCTGGGATTACAGATGTGAGCCACCGCCCCAGCCCAAAAAAAGACTGTTTTATGTATTTTACTGCCTGCCTATTTTATCTTTTACTGCCTGTCTCCTAAAAGAGGTGCAGCTAGTAATTAGAAAAAAAAAAATTGTAAATCTGCTCTGAAGTCTCTTCTCCCCACCCCTGAGAACCAGAAAACATTAATCCAATCCTATCCCTGGCCAGTTCTTTCTTTTCTACCTCAAAATTAACTGGCTTCCTTTGTGACCAGGAAAAGATTTAATTTTGATGCTCCATTTAGAGAAAAACAATAATAGCAGGCCGCTGAATTCCACATCACATTTGTCTCTATGAGGAGCTTGCCATTAAAGACACCATAGTCCTAGTTTTTATTCATACACGTATTTCTTTATTATGTGAACACTTATTGATCACCTACTAAATGTCAAGAACCAGGATGTGTGCTGGGTTACAAAGATAAATCCCACGTATGTGTGGCCGCTGCCTTCCCAGAACTCCCAGTGGCAATGGGTCCGATGGGGCTCGGGATCGGGAGGGCAGGTGCCAGAGGAGACACATAAAGCCTCTGAGGCAAGGAGGCTGCCCGTCAAGCTTTCTCTAGGACATCATGCAGCCGTCACCAGGGATGCCACAATCAAGATGTTTCCGTCCCTTGCTTCTCTCCCTCATTCCAGTTTGTGGATATGCTGGGCTGGCGCCTGGAGACGGCAGACAGAGTGGATATCCCCGTCTCATTCAACCCGGGCAGCAACAGCATGGTGGCGGATCTCCAGGAGCTGCCCACAACCGTCCGCAGCGCGTCCTGGGTCGCACCCGCCTCCTACCTGGGGGACAAGGTAATGATGTCTTGCTGTTCTTCTGGGCCCTCGGTGGGGCTCTGCTATCGCTGTGTGAGCGTCATTTCCTGGAAATCTGGAAGGAAGCATTCAGCAGTTTAGGTTCCTAACATTCCGGAAATTGGGTGAACTAAAAATGAAGAAGAGACCCTGCCTCCTGTTGTGGGGGGCTGGGCAGGCACCCCCCGCGCCCCACCCTCGCCATGCAGGAGCTACCAGCAAAGGAAATCACCCACAATGTTTTTCTCAGTTTTTACCTAATGTCAAAGACTTTTCCTCCAGGGAAATAACCATTTAAATCATATCTATTGCAAATAGGACATGCATGCTTTTAAATGCTGAGAATTCTTTATTTTAAGGCAGAAGAAAGCCTCTTTGTTAGAAAAACAAAGGCTGACAAGTGACTCACAAGCTTATTAAAAGAAACAGGCTCCAGTGGCAGTCTGACTTTCGTAAGCAGAATCACGTTAGTTCCACACCCCTCAGGGGCTCACACACCACTTGCTCTTCCCTTGCTGCATGAGTTACTATGCCAGAGGCTGGCCACCTCCACCCATTTTATGAGGAGAGAAACTCAGGCCTCATGTGGAAACGCCATCAGGTCATGTATGTTTCTTAGCAAGCGTGGAACTTGCTAACGGGTGGATTTCACAGGGCCTGGCTCAGGGGATGCCATCTTCTGGCATTAGGAGGACTAAAATAGTAGGGCCTCGTTGTCCTGAGGTCTCTAACTTCGGCTTCTGGGTGAAGGACTGTGGGTTTTGACATCTGAGTGTGGGCAATGTTGCCTTTCTCCTATGATCTCACTTCTCTCTCATATAATACTCCTTTTCATCCCTGTATGATAGGCCCATGTGTTGATCATCTCTTGCTGTGTAACAAATTACCCCCAACACATTGCAGCTTAAAGCAATAATGATTATTTTGGATGAGGAATTCAGAAAGGGATGGACCAGAGTCTTCTGAGGCTATTGTCAAGATGTCAGCCAGGGCTGTAGTCACCTGGGACTGGAGCATCTGCTTCCGAGCTCACCCACATGGCTGTTAGCAGGCCTCTGCTTCCTGCTGGCTATGGGCTGGATGCCTCCGTTTCTCATCACGTGAGACCCTCCATAGGCTACCTGAGGGTCCTCATGACATGGCAGCTGGCTTCCTCCAAAGCAACTCATAAGGGGCGGGTAAGGGTGGGGAGAGAGGGAGGGAGAGAGAGAGAGAGAGAGGGTTCGAGCTCAAGACAGAAGCTGCAGTGTTTTTATAACCTAATTTCAGAACTGCCATGCCCTCACTTCTCCTTTATTCTATTCATTAGCAGCAAGTCACTAAGCGCAGCCTACACTCAAGAGGAGGGGAATTTGGTGGTTCATGCCTGTAATCCCAGCACTTTGGGAGGCTGAGACACGTGGATCACCTGAGGTCAGGAGTTTGAGACCAGCCTGGCCAACATGATGAAACTTCGTCACTACTAAAAATACAAAAATTAGCTAGACATGGGGGTGGGCGCTGATAATCCCAGCTGCTTGGGAGGCTGAGGCAGGAGAATCATCTGAACCTGGGAGGTGGAGGTTGCAGTGAGCCAAGATCATGCTATTCTACTCCAGCCTGGGTGACAGAGCAAGACTCCATCTCAGAAAAACAAACAGAAACAAAAAAGAGGAGGGGGAATTAAGCTCTACCTCTTGAAGGCAGGAGTGCAAAGAATTTGTGGCCATGTTTTTAAAACCACTTTAAGTCCATCAAAAAAGCAATACTTAATCGCAATAATAATTCAAGACATTACCTTGGAACACTTCCAGGCTTAAAGATCAAAACTCTGTAAGACTTTGTCAGGTTACAGACTCTAGGGTAAAGCTTCTGTTGAATGGAATCCCAGAGGAGCATGGCTTCTTCTCCCTGCCTGCTCTAAGTTGTTGGTGTTTCCCGGTAGGCTATTTCGTTCTGTCTAATCAGAGGTGATCTTGCCTGTGATTTTCATCGTTCTGTGACTTCTTCCTTCTTGATTGTGTTAAGGGTGGGAGGTGTCAGGACCCAAAGTGTGAAGTAGCTGTCGGAAAACTGTGACCATTCACTCCATATCCCCACCAGTGTCATGCTGCTTGTGCGACACTGAGATGTCTGTGCGCCTGCTGGAGTACTCAGCCATGGCTTCTGTACCCAGCAGAACTCACAATAATTCGGGAAATGTTCACCATCTGCTTTCAGGAGAATTGTTTTTGGAGACAATTTATTTTTAGAGGTTCACTTTGTGACTGATAGATATTATTCAGTTCTCTCAGTTAAAAAAGAAACCAATGGCCTATATTTCCTAGAATAGTTATGGATTAAATAAACATTTTGGTTTAGTAATCATCTGGAAAAGAAAGAAACATGACTATTTTCCTTCCTTCCTTCCTTCCTTTCCTCCTCCTCTTTCTTTCTTCTTTTTCTTTTCCTTCCTTCCTTCCTTCCTTCCTTCCTTCCTTCCTTCCTTCCCTCCCTCCCTCCCTCCCTCCCTCCCTCCTTCCTTTCCTTCCTTCCTTCCTTCCTTCCTTTCATCTTTTCTTTTCTTTCTTTTTTCTTTTATAGGGTCTTGCTCTGTTGCCCAAGCTGCAGTGCATTGGTACAAAAATAGCTCTCTGCAGCATCAAACTCCAGGGCTCAAGCGATCTTTCCACCTCAGCTTCCTAAGTAACATACACCACCACATCTGGTTAATTTTTGAATGTTTTTGTAGAGACAGGGTCTTGCTACATTGCCCAGACTGGTGCCTAACTCATGACCTTAAGTGATCCTTCTGCCTCAGCTTCCCAAAGTGCTGGGATTATAGGCATGAGCTGCTACACTCAGCCTTACTTTTCTTTTAAATAAAGGTATCTTCTTGCTTGTAAAACTCAACCATGTTCATGCTAAACATTTCAAATGACATTAAAAGTAGCATAAAGTAGAAAGTTACAATACCATCTTCAACCCCGCTGTCTAGATACAACCCTGTGAACGGGTCGAGTGTGTTTCTTTCCACACTTTGTGTGCCTAAGCGCTTTTCATGCGGGTTGACGCCGACATCGTCTCTTTTAATGCTTGTGCTATTGATGCTATTCATTCCATTTTAGGTTTCTTCATATGGTGGCTACCTCACTTACCAAGCCAAGTCCTTTGGCTTGCCTGGTGACATGGTTCTTCTGGAAAAGAAGCCAGACGTGCAGCTCACTGTAGGTATCAGGGCACAACCTAAGTGGCAGGAAGTGGCAGCTGCTGTTGGTGCTGATCTAAGTTTAGGACATCTTGATATGTGGTCTATAAAAAAATTGGATTAAATCATTTCCAATATTTTGTAGAAACTAAGTCAAAGTTTAGAGCATGTAGCATCTTTTCAGGATCGTGCCTCCTCTGACCAAATGGTTTCTCTCTTCTCGCCTCCAAAGTACTTAACTGTATTTTGCTCTTGCCTCTCACAAGTTACTGCCTCCCCATGTTAAAATTTTTCTAAAAACTTTTTTTTTTTAATTTTTGTAGAGACAGGGTCTCCCTGTGTTGTCCAAGCTAGAGCTGAACTCCTGGCCTCAAGCAGCCCCCCTGTCTTGGCTTCCCCGAGCACTGAGGATATAGGCACACACCACCATGGCCAGCTAATTTCTTTCACCTTAATTTTTGTAGAGATAGGATCTCACTGTGTTGCCCAGGCTGGTCTCAAACTCCTAGGCTCAAGCAATTCTCCCTGCTCAGCCTCCCAAAGCGCTGGGATGACAGGTGTGAGCCACATGTCCCACCACATATTAAGCATTTTTTTTAATGTTTCTATATTTTAATTTTGTTTCATAAATGTCTTTGAGTCCTTCCCATGGGGCAAGAATGTATTGTTGGACTCTGTAAAGGACAAGTGACCCCTTTCCTCAAAAGTAGGGGAAATCAGGGAAATATGCCAGGAACTCCAACCCACTGAACAGTAACTGTTAGAGGAGAGTCCAAACAGAGCCCTCTCAGTGCTGGGGTTTGGGTAGGGGGAATGGGAGTCATGTGGTCTGAGAGGCCCTTAGAAGACTTAGTGGTTCATTTTGAGCCAAGTCTTTAAGAATGGGCATACGAAGAGAAGTGCCCTTCCGGGGGCGGGGATGAAGACTAACAGGGCTTAGCAGTGGTACAGGGCAGAAGGCTGTGCTCATGGACGCCCAGTCCAATAGGGCTGTATCATCAGTGTGTGCAGTCATTCAAAACAAGTCTGAAAGCGTCTGATGCTATGACAGGAATTTTTTTTTGAGACAGGAGTGCAGTGTCGTGATCTTGGCTCACTGCAAATTCTGCCTCCCTGATTCAAGTGATTCTCCTGCCTCAGCCTCCTGAGTAGTTGGGATTACAGGCATGGGCCACCATGCCCAACTAATTTTTATATTTTCAGTAGAGACAGAGTTTCACCATATTGACCAGGCTGGTCCCAAACTCCTGACCTCAAGTGGTTCATCCGCCATTGAGGGAACATTTGTTTTTTGAGAAGGGAAGTAACAACATCCACACACTCTTTGCCTGGCACACAATTCAGTACTGCCATCTAGAAAATTCCTTGAAGGCAAGGGTAGTATCACATCCTACTTTGAATTCCCCACAACACAGGGCACAATACCGTGAGCATAGGGTAGGGTGCCATTGCCTGAAGTCGGCTTTATTTCTGGCTTATGGGGTGTGATTCCTGTGATGTAATAATAGCTTCCTGAAGGGTTTTCTCATGTCATGCACTGTATACAGGGAGCAGCAAGTCACACACACCTCATCGCAGCACATTCTTGGTAGATATTTGTGTTCAGGTACTGCTGTGTTGTGTTTTGTTTTTACTGGTATGCAAATCTACTGAACTGTTTTAACTCCAAGGAACCTTTGCAGAATATCTTGAAGATGAAGCAGCAAAGATTTTGGAATTGTAGTCTAAGGAAAAATAGCTACACAGTAAAAACACCATCACAGCAGTGCTGTATTTCAGTTTCATGTTTTTACAGAGCATCTTATAGTTCAGGCCAGGCCGATTTTTTTTTTTTTTTTTTACTGCCAAAGAGTTTATTATGCAAACCATTGGAATTCACTGGAAGGTAATAACCAAATTTTCTGTTTAATTTTACCTTCAAACATGGAAAATAATTTAGGCTCATGAAACATTTTCCCTGCTGCTTTGTTCTAATTCACTATAATTAAGAGTCTCTAGGACATGTTTCTTAGATTAAGGTTTTAAATGATATGTGATTCCAGGTAATGGTCTTCTTTCTGAAATACCAGCCCTAATGAATGGAACCCTCTAGGGTTTGGTGCTATCGCAGAAAAGCTGGGACTTGTATGTGTTTTTGTAGCAGGGTTGCTGATGGTGGAGTGCTGGTGCAGTAGGCTGCTGGCCACCCCAACCTGCCCTGTTAAGATGTAAATGTGAGCCACCATAATGCAGCGGGCTGGAGGCTGAGAATGAATGAGGATGGGTCCCACAGAGGGAGGCAGCAGGGGAATTTCTCGCCCCACATGCTAGCCTGTAGCTCCCTGCATGGGCCAACCCTCTGCCCTCCACACCCTCCTCAGTACCCATCCACCAAAGCACTTTCTTCCCACCACAGTCTGGTTCGGTGGGCAGTAATGAAAACAGCACTTCCTGCATTGACTACAAGGCAAAGTTTAAAAAAAGAAAATTTTTTTTTCTGCTGGGTGTGGTGGGCCCACACCTGTAATTCCAGCACTGTGGGAGGCCAAGGCAGGTGGATCACTTGAGGTCAGGAGTTCGAGACCAGCCTAGTCAACATGGTAAAACCTGTTCTCTACTAAAAATACAAAAATAGGCAGGGTGTGGTGGTGAGCACCTGTAATCCCAGCTACTCAGGAGGCTAAGGCAGAATTGCTTGAACCCGGGAGGCAGAGGTTGCAGTGAGCCAAGATTGTGCCATTTCACTCCAGTCTGAGCAATAGAGTGAGACTCTATGCCTGCCAAAAAAAAAAATTATTTTTGGCCAAGGCAATTTTCCTGATTTCCTATTTGTGAAAAGACACTGTATTGCCTATAATTATTGTTTCCATATTGTTTCCAATCTTTTTATCAGTCAGTTAATTCTGAACTTTTTTTTAAGTCAGGTATGTCATATGATGTAGATCATAGAAATGTTTCCTTAGGTCAGTTATAAAGCTTGAAAGTCCCAGTGAAGGCACTAACACATTCATGGTTTTCTTTAAACAGGGTCAGCACTTGTCCATCATCTATGAAGATGCAAATACCCCACGGCCAGACCGGCTGCATCACGGGCGAGTGCAGGTGGTTGAGGTAAAGGAAGAGCAACCATACAGTGGGGAGGGTCCTTTGTTTTATGACTTAATGATTTCAGACAATCATGATTTTTACTCATTTTAAGAATTTTAAAATACAGACTCTATTTATATAAATATAAATTTATATATACAGGTTGAGCATCCTTAATCTGAAAATCCAAAATGCTCCAAAACCCAAAATATTTTGAGCACCAACATGACACTCAAAGGAAATGCTCATTGGAGGATTTCAGGTTTCAGATTTTTGGGTTAGGAATAATCCAAAAACTGGCAGGCAAATACAATGCAAATGTTCCAAAATTAAAAAAAAATCTGAAATTTGGATCACTTCTGGTCACAGACAAGAGGTACCCAAGTTGTATAGATTCAAAATACGAATTATATAAAATGTAGAGTGTTTGATGCTCATGTGGCTTTCTTGGTACCATCTGTCCAGCCCTTTAACATTGTCTCTCTCATTTCACAATTAATTATCCTAGTTGTAAAAACTCCATGAGTCAGCCTGGGCAACATGGCAAAACTCTGCATGAAAACAAAAATTCAGTGGGCAAGGTGGACTGCGCCTGTAATCCCAGCTAGTTGGGAAGCTGAGGTGGGAAGATTGCTTGTCCCAGAAGGTCAAAGCTGCAGTGAGCCATGATTGTGCCACTGCACTCCAGCCTGGGCAACAGAGTGAGATCATGTCTCAAACAAACAAACAAAAAACCTGTGAGCTTGTAAATGCTATGACGTAGCTCGCTGTCATCCTCAGGTCTCCCTCAGTGCCTGAGACCTGGTTAATATTCAACATATGCTTAGGATGAATAGATAAAAAAAGCTACGAAAAGAACCAAGAGTAATACTAGCAAAATAAAGGAAAGCTCATCAGATTGTAAAACATTTTGTTACACTTACTTGGCTACAACTACTCCTTAAAAATAGTGTTCCATTCATAATAAATATGTATAGTAACTCTAGATGAAACTTTTTGAGTACTTTGAACTTGCAGACATATTTAATGTTTCTGAATAGGTACATCTATACAATGGAATACTATTTGGCAATTAAAAAAAAACAACAAAATGTTGATACTACAAGACACCAAAGAAATATATTGTATGATTCTATTTATGTGAGACAGATTATATCAGTAAATGATAGAGTGAGAATCCCTCTAAAAATTCTGTCCTCCATAAAAGCAATTAGAGAACTGGCAAAAAAGAAAAGAAAAGGTCAGAATCAACGTTTTCAGAACTCTGGAAATTAATCAAAGCCTTGCAACCATCTGGAAATGGCACACAATGTATAAAGATGCAATTTGTACAATAGTAGCATACAAGAAAAGAGGAGGGAATGATGTTAATAGAAGCACAGTTTTTGTATACTGTTGAAATTAAGCTGGCATTTATGTACATTGTGCAGCAAGGACACATGCAGAGAAACAGAATGTAGATTAGTGGTTGCCTGGGTTTGAGGGTGGGAATGGGTAGAGACTACAAATGGACACAGATTTTTTTTAAGGTAATAGAAATATTCTAAAATTATATTATGATGATTGCATTCTTCTGTAAATTTATTGCAAATTGTACACTTAAAATGAGGAATTATTATTGTATATAAATTATTCCTTTAGCTGTTAAAGTATAAATTAAAATGAGTATTATATTTGTATGTTAGTAATAGCTACCATTTATTGAATGCCTACTACATGCTAGGCATGGTGCTGAACACTTTATGTACATTGTATCATTTAATTTACTTTAATTATAATGATAGCCCCAGGACATTAGGCATTACTATGCCTATTTAAGAGATATAAAAACTGAGTTCAACAAGGGCAACAAAATGTAAAGGTTAAAAAGACAGGCTTTTACATAAAAAGATGCTCAACATTACTAATCATTAGAGAAATGCAAATTAAAACCATAATGAGATGCCATTTCACACCAATTAGGATGGCTACTATTAAAAAATTGCAAAACAGGCCAGGTGTGGTGGCTCATGCCTGTAACCCCAGCACTTTGGGAGGCTGAGGGAGGCAGATCATGAGGCCAGGAGTTTGAGACCAGCCTGGTCAACATGGCAAAACCTTGTCTCTACCAAAAATATTAAAAAAAAAAAAAAATGAGGCTGGGTGCAGTGGCTCATGCCTGTTCCAGCAGTTTCGGAGGCAGAGGTGGATGGATCACAAGGTCAGGAGTTCATTGACCCAGCCTGGCCAACATAGAGAAACCCTGTCTCTACTAAACAAACAAAAATTAGCCAGATGTGGTGGCATGTGCCTATAATCCCAGCTACTTGGGAGGCTGTAGCAGGAGAATCACTTGAACCCAGGAGGTAGAGGCTGCAGTGAGCCAAGATTGCCCCACTGCACTCCAGTCTGGGAAACAGAGCAAGACTCTGTCTCAAAAAAAAAAAAAAAAAAAAAAAAAAAAAAGCCGGATGTGGTGCACCTGTAATCCCAGGTACTCAGGAGAATCACTTGAACCTTGGAGGTGGAGATTGCGGAAATTGCAGTGAGCCAAGATCACGCCACTGCACTCCAGCCTGAGCAACAGAGTGGGCTCTGTCTTAAAAAAAAATTACCAAACAGAACTTAACAAGTGTTGACAAGAGTGTGGTGAAATTGGGACCCTTCAACCTTCTTGCTGGGAATGTGAAATGGTGCATCCACTGTGGAAACACTAAGGAAGTTCCTCAAAACATTAAATGTAGGATTACCATATGCTCCAGCAGTCCCACTTTTGGTTATATATCTAAAATAACTGAAAACAGGATCTTGACAAAGTATCTGCACATTCATGTTCATTGCAGCATTATTCACAATACCCAAGAAGCAACCAAATGTCCATCAACAGATGAATAGATAAAGAAAATGTGGTTTATATATAGATATATACAATGAAACATTATCCCCTTTAAGAAAAGAAGAAGGAAATCCTGCCATAAACTGCAGCACAGATGAGCCTGAGAACCAGCCGGGCGCAGTGGCTCATGCCTGTAATCCCAGCACTTTGGGAGGCTGAGGTGGGCAGATCATGAGGTCAAGAGATTGAGACCATCCTGGCCGAAATGGTGAAACCCTGTCTCTACTAAAAATACAAAGTTAGCCGGGCATGGTGACGCATACCTGTAGTGCCAACTACTCAGGAGGCTGAGGCAGGAGAATCCCTTGAGCCTGGGAGATGGAGGTTATAGTGAGCCGGGATCGCACCACTGTACTCCAGCCTGGGCGACAGAGTGAGACTCTATCTCAAAAAAAAAAAAAAACCTCAAATAAAATGATGTGAATGTTTATGCAAGAAAGGATTGTATTTTCTGTCACCGTTGTGTATGTTTAATGATTGACCTGAGCTGCATGACTCAGTGGTTTCCATATGCCTGCCTTCCTTCTTTCTCACTCACCTTCTGTTTGCACAAACAAAAGCAATTTAAAGATCAGTATAACACTGGAAAATTTTATTTCATTTTATTGCCCCTCTTCCCTGCCTTCATTTTCTTTTCCTTCCTTCATGGGAATAACCCAGGACATCTGACTTCTAAATGTAAATACTCCAGGAGGTAGGTATTTCCCCATCTTATTTCATTTCTCCCCATGCGTTTTAAGTGTCTCTTCTTTGATTCATTCGGGGTGTCTGCCCCTAAGGAACCCCTGGAAGTGAGCCTGCCTAAGGAAGACCCTGCCTTTCTGTTTCCACTTGTAGGGAAACTTCAGACACGCCAGCAGCCGAGCCCCGGTGTCTAGGGAGGAGCTGATGACAGTGCTGTCTAGACTGGCAGATGTGCGCATCCAAGGCCTCCACTTCACAGAGACACAGAGGCTCACCCTGGGCGAGGTGGGGCTAGAGGAAGCCTCTGACACAGGCAGCGGACGCATAGCACATGCTGTGGAAATGTGTGCCTGCCCCCCTGCCTATGCTGGCGACTCATGTCAGGTAGGAAGTTTTCCCATCCATACCATTCCCTTAGGGAACTCCTATGGCCATTGTTTCTGACTGCTGTCCAGCACTGCAGAATGGTTTATTGTTTCTCTGTCCAAGTTTCTGCAGGGCTTATCTTATATCTTACCTAGACTCCCTTCAGGAATTAAATGTGAAAAAGACATCATCAGTGTCTCAGAATTCATAGGAAAGCCACAGGAATTCATTAGATGCTGAGGGTTAGAGAAATCCAGAGTAGGAAAAAACATACTATAGTTTCAAATAGCTAGATGGAGGATATTGACTGTTCCCAACACAATGAAATGATCAACGCTTGAGATGATGGATATGCTAATTAACTTATCTGATCACTAAATGTTATATGTATCAGACATCACTATGCACTCCATATTTATCACTATTATTTATCAATTTTTTAAATAAAATATATTTGAAAATGAAGGAGCTCATCAGTCAGCATCTAAATATTTGAGCCCCTGCTTTCCCAATAACTGACCTTAAACCTTTCTCTAATCCAGAACCTCCCTCCACCTACACTCAATGCCCCAGGAGACTGGAATTCCAGAAAATATCCTGGATTTCTCAGAGGATATTATGTTCTGGCTTGCAGCAGAGCCTCATTATTTGAGGTCCAGTCAAACAGAGCTGTCTTCAGATGATTAAAATGTGCCATAGAATGAAACTATTCAATTTCTCAGGCTATAAATATGTCTTTTCTTAAAGATCAAGCCAAAAGCACAATGTTAGCACAATTAGTAGAAGCAGCAATACACTGTCATTAGCACAATTAGTAGAAGTAGAATACACTGTTATTTTGTGTATTCTATACATTCAAAAGTACTAGACTTAGCAAAACCTTTCATTTTCTTTCCTGGCCCCCTGGTAGCCAAAAACCCCCAAGGTGATCTGAGCATACAAGTTTCCACTTTTTAAACCTGCAAAACCAAATCTGACCTGCTGTGGTCTTCTGGATACTCCCAAGTTGTAATATTTAGCCCACAGGTTGCCTACATTCCTCCCCTTCCTCCGTCTCTTTTCTAGCCTGATTAAAATTGATAGCCCAAGGGAGAGAGAGGGACTCTGGATTTCCACCCTTCTGCCCAGGGCGTGTTCCCTGCCCATGACTCAGCCTGTGATTTAGAGCGTCTGCGGGGTGAGGTGGGTGGAAGGTGATGCCCGCCCCACCTCCCAGGAATTACAGAGCGGTGCGCTTACCTGCAAGACTGTTATGTGCGCTCTGGCACAGGCTGACTCATGTGTGAAGTTTAAAGGTGGGGCGCCTGCCGCAGACAGCCTTCCTTCCCTGAGTCAGGCAGGCCCAGGCAGTGAGCAGGAAGGCAGGTATAAGAGGAAGAGGCAGAGCTTCATGTGCAGCCAGCAGGACGCCCAGAAGCCAGGATGCCTCCAGATGTGAGGCGGTCAGCCGGGAGCATGGGATGGCTGTGGATCTTTGGGGCAGCCCTGGGGCAATGTCTGGGCTACAGTTCACAGCAGCAAAGGGTGCCATTTCTTCAGCCTCCCGGTCAAAGTCAGCTGCAAGCGAGTTATGTGGAGTTTAGACCCAGCCAGGTAATGTCCTTTTAAGTTTTGGTTTGGGATGGGGAGGAGTTTCCAGTTTTGTGACATTTTAAGTTGCAGTTAGGTGATTAATGAGTAAATGAGTGGACTAAGGAGGGGCTGATGGCCTCCCAGTAGCCTTGACTGGCAGTGTTGATTAGAGTGCCTGACAGATTGTTCTCCCAAGCTATTAACCACAAATCCCATTAACATCAGCCCACCTGGAAATGCCGAGGCAGTTAAGAGCTTGAATGCTTGTGAGATGTTAATATACGATGAAACTTTATGCCTTTTAGAGACCACCCCAAGGCTCAGAAAAAGAGTCCAATGCCTACAGTTTTCCAAATACTGCTTGGAAGAAAATTTACCCACGAAAAAAACATGAGAAAGAGTGAAATCCAATGCTTAAGAAAAGCGATCAAAATTTGCATAAATCTAAAAGACATGCTTCCATTTGCCAGGCATGAAACATTCATAAATTCTGCTCTCTTTAAACTTCCTGGATGCTACATGTATTCTTGCAGAGAAATAGATCCTATGGCTACTGATATAGCCCTGGAAACTGGTTTAGGAACATAATTTTGTCGTTTGTATATAATTTTTATTACAAAAGTTTCCTGGAAAACTTAACATGAAACATCATCAGGTTAACTAGTTATAGAACCCCTTTTTTGAACTAATGTATTAGAATACATTCATTTTCATTTAAAAATGAGTATTCAGTATAAACTGAATAAACTGATTTTTTTGTAGAATGTGTTTTTGCTTGCATTATAAGAGGTGAAAATGATTCTATTTTAGTAACTGACACATCCTTGGAGGGTCACATGATATGTAACTCTTGCAGAGTATATTTTCTGCTTGTAATCAAAAGCAAATTAAGATGAGTGATTTAGTTTTAATCAGGATAGACTATACTCCCCCAAAGCATGTTTAATTAAGGCTTTTACTCAGGTGTGTTGTCATAAACTAACCAGATCTGTTTATTTGAATAACTTGCTCTTTACCAAATGCGATTATTTCGTAAGCAGGTAATATGATATCCACTGATAATTATTAGGTACTTGCCACTTTTAGGACAGATCATATAATAGATATGATGACACCATTGGCTGCATTTCGTTCACGTGTAAATCTCAGCTGTGCTTTCAGCAAAAGAACATTCCTTTCATACTTTGATTCTCCTTTAGACAAGCCTATTCATATAACAACATAATCTATTTATTTGCAACGTACTCTTTTGCCTAAACATGGTTCCTAATAGCTTAAAGGAATATTATATTGGAAACTATGGTCTTATTGTGCATGATCTGTATTCATTGGTAATTTTGGAAGGCGCTCTAGCAACACCTGGAGATTCCACTCCCTGAGCACATGAGGCTTCTGCCTCTCTCTCCTGGCAGGTGGCTTCTTCCTTTCTTCCACTTGACCAGGTAGAGACCTTTATGGCCACGGATGAATGAGAATGGACTGTCCATTTCAAGATTTTCTTTGACTATAGTTTCGGAGTTTTACAGACATATGTGCTATTTAAAGAAGATTTGACAAAAGACTATCCTTTATCTTGAAATAGTTTTCCTGATGCTTTCAAGATAGGGTATATAGGAGATCAAGGAAACAAACTAGGGACAATATCTGATTTTTTTTTTTTTAGACAGGGTTTCACTCTTGTTGCCCAGGCTGGAGTGCAGTGGTGTAATCTGGGCTCACTGCAACCTCTGAGATTCAAGCCATCCTCCCACCTCAGCCTCCCCAAGTAGCTGGGACTATAGGCATGCACCACTGTGCCTAGCTAATTGTAGTATTTTTTGGTAGAGATGAGGTTTTACCATGTTGCCCAGGCTGGTCTCAAACTCCTGGACTCAAGCGATCTACCCACCTCAGCCTCCCAAAATGCTGGGATTATAGGCATGAGCCACCACAACCAGCCAATATCTGATTTTAATCTGCGCACTGATTCACTCTGCCAAAATAAAGGACATGTCTATAATTTCCTTTAAAGACAGAAATCTAAATAATTTTAATGGCCGGTATAAGAAGAATTGCCTGTTTTTCTATTGGAGGAATTCTTAACTAGAAGGCTTTTTTAAAGGTACTAGTTCATGAAAAGAAAATTATAATTATTTTTGTCCAGATGAAAAAGCACAACTTGTATTATACTGGAGAGAGATAATATGCTGGGGATAGAAATAATCAAAATAAGATTGAACAACAAAACAAGACCAAGCCAAGGAGACTCCTTGTGTGTTCAGTGTGGACCAGATATTCATGAAGAGTCCTTTATGGGACCTCATGCACACTACCCTCCCCTGGGTTCTCTGTTGCCCATGGACTAGTGAGTGGGAATGAAGTGACTCCACCGATTGCGGCATGATTGTATAGATCTCAGTTAAGAATCCCATCCCCCACAACCCACTCCTCCTCCCATACTGCCCTTCCACCAGCCCAAACTCACAGCTGGAGAGCAGACGGCTACCCAAAGATAATTTGAACTTGAAGTGATTTGCTTAGGTGTCCTCCCCTCTGAGGATGGGGGCCCAATTCTCTTTATTTGTCCACTTCTACCTTCTCCGCCTGCTCCCTAAAACAGTTGTGAGAAGAGAGGAGACCCTTCTCGCCCACCACCTCCACACTTGCCGTCTCTCTGATTTCCCTGCCACGCATCTCGCATTCCCACCAGGGCATGAAAACCAAGCAACTTGAGAGAAAAACAAGTGGATCTGACCAAGCAACTTGAGAGAAAAACAAGTGGATCTGACCGGTGGTTGCAATTAAAAATATTCACACTGACTGAGGGAAAGAAGGTTTGAAAAACGAATGTTTCAGCCGGGCTGAGCAGTGCACGTGCCTGTGGTTCCAGCTGCTCTGGAGGCTGAGGCAGGAGGATTGCTTGAGCCCAGGAGCTCGAGACTGTATTGCACTATGATCACACCTGTGAATAGTCACCGCACTCCAGCCTGGGCTCAACATAGCCAGACCCTGTCTCTAAAAAATAAAAATAAGGTTCATGCTTCGCAGTGAGAAGTATCACATGCTTTGGATAATCATTGTTTTCTTTCTTTGTACTGATTAAACATTTTGTTTGAAAAAAATAGGGTTGTAGCCCTGGATACTATCGGGATCACAAAGGCTTGTATACTGGACGGTGTGTTCCCTGCAATTGCAACGGACATTCAAATCGATGCCAGGATGGCTCAGGCATTTGTATTGTGAGTAAATTGATACTTTTATGCTATCAGCAGGGAATCTGTTTCTCCCCTCTACTATTCCCCTCTACTATGCCCCGAGACATCAACATCACATCTCCTGCCAAACCCTAAATAGAGGTCGCTGTTTGAATATATGAGGCTCCATTATCAGGCTGAAGTATTTTACATTTCATTTTTTTCCTCCATTTTAACATGTGCCATTAAAAAGAGAGCTGCTCTCTGAGCAATTAAGTTACACTTTAGCTTCCAAATCTCTGCGTCATGAAATGATAGTAATGGGTGGACCTTGGAAGTTAATTCTTGCCAGGACATAACTAATCAGAGCCATGACTTTGGGTCCCAATTTTGTTGGGGTGGTAGGAAGTTACAGGACCAGGGCTTGCTGTCGATGAGCAGTAATTTGAGAAAGCAACCAGGGAGAAGGGGATTTGAGGAGGGCTTACAGCTCATAAGAAATCAGTCCAACATTAGTTGGGCATGGTGGCAGGCGCCAGTAATCCTACTACTCAGGAGGCTGAGGCAGGAGAATCACTTGAACCTAGGAGGCAGAGGTTGCGGTGAGCCGAGATCGTGCCATTGCACTCCAGCCTGGGCAACGAGAACAAACCTCCATCTCAACAAACAAAAAAAAAGAAAGGAAAAGAAAGAAACAAATCAGTCCAACACAAGCTTCAGTATTGCCAAGACATAGTAGGGCTTGGAGCAGACCTGTGAGGGAGGTTGTTGGGGAAAGAAAGTGCTGCTCACCTCTCCTGTCCTCATGGCGTCCTCTGCCTGCCTGTTCCCTATGTTGACTGTTTTTTCTCATGGCCTCAAGGCTGTCTTGGATGACTATATCTTATCCACTGGAAAAATCTTATTTTGGAATATTTTATAAAATTCTCCTACTAGCCAGGTGCAGTGGCTCACACCTGTAATTCCAGCACTTTGGGAGGCTGAGGCGGGCAGATCACAAGGTCAGGAGATTGAGACCACGCTGGCTAACATGGTGAACCCTGTCCCTACTAAAAATACAAAAAATTAGCTGGACATGGTGGCACGCGTCTGTAGTCCCAGCTACTTGGGAGGCTGAGACAGGAGAATCGCTTGAACCCAGGAGGCAGAGGTTTCAGTGAGCCGAGATCGCTCCACTGCACTCCAGCCTGGGTGACAGAGTAAGACTCCATCTCAAAAAATGAATAAATAAATAAATAACAAAATAAAATTCTCCTAACTAAAATTAGTTTCTTAGGAAATTTTTCTTATGCATCCCAAAGCAGAATCTTTTTTATTCTG